GACTGTGAATGACTGTGGGCCAGCCGTGAGCGGAGTGTGAGTAGGTGCAGGCAGAGGGTAAGGTAACTACAGTGCATGTGGGATGCCCCTGTGAAAATGGAGAAGCCTAGGCCCAAGGAGTATATAGCTTGCCTACATTAGAACCCAAGAGTTTCATTTTTAAATGGTGGCAGTCAGGGGACAACTCTCAGACGTCAGTTTTGTCCTTCCGCTGTGGGAGTTGGGGATCAAGCTCAAGTTCTCAGGGGCTTCAGGAAACGACGCCATCTCACCATCCCATGGAACTCCTTTATTGCTGACCTCCCATCTCGCTGCTTGGGGTAAAGAGAGGTCTGGGTCACCACCAAAAGGACAGCAGTGGCGTGACGTCCCTCCCCCATGTGTCATTACAAGCTCACTCTGCCTCACTGTGGAGAGGGGGAGTAAGGCAATGACAGACTCAGAGGGGCTGCTGAGAAGGAACCCTGACAAACCAGACACCTGCCTGTAGGAACCTGGATGCCCTCATGGGGGTGCCTTGGAAGTTTGGAGGTAACACCAATTGCTCTCCTGCCTGGCATGCTCTTGAGAGGCCTGGAGGGGCCATCCTCCTCCCCTCCTTCCCTGGATTTGATGGCCTGTCCAGCCTGTGGTGATGGCCTGTCCAGCCTGTGGGCCCCAAGGCTCTGAATTATTTAGCCCAGGGAACCAGGCAGTGAGTCGCATGTCTACCCCCGGGGCCGCAAAATAGATTATCTTTTTTTTTTTATTAGCTGGCCCTTGTTAGCTTATAATTGCGATCATGTAACATTTAATAGAGGCACAAAGCAATGCTCACGGCTGGCCCACAGTCGTTCATTAGCTAACAAGATGGAGCGGCTCATAAAAAAGAGCCGTTAAAAAAAAAAAAATTCCGGAGAAATGGGAAGCGGGGAGGTGATGCAACCTCTGGCTAACAAAGACAGGAGGCTGGGGGAGGCGGGTCGGGTGTGAGCTGAATAACCCGGTCCTGATAAGCCACAAAGCAGAGCCGGCTGCTCCTCCTGCACGCTGCCTGAGTCAGAGAAGCAGGGATGTGTTGGAAATCCAGCAATGTAATTAGCAGGTTGCATCATGCCTCCATTATGAATTACAATGGGCGCAAAGAGGGTAGACGGAGGGGCAGGGATTAAATGGGGTAACCTGATCCCCATGCCAGTGGGGACAGAGAACTCAGGACCTGTCGCCTGCCCGGACACTCAGCGACCTGAGTAGCCTCTGCCTACCCGTGGCACAGGACTTGGGGGGATGGGGTGCAGGGACTAGACCTACTCAAAGACTGCTTTGTGCAGCCTGGGAGAATGATTTACTAACTGGAGGAATCAAAGGTGTGAAAGAGGATGGCCCTCTTAACCCCGCCATTGTCTCCTGTCTCCAGGAATGTCCTCTGGCTCCACCCACCCGTGCACCTGTGCACACGGTGGAGATGTGGGATGGACCAGGTGAAGATCTGTCTCTAGGAGCTGGAATGATAAGATCTAAAGGGCCCCAAGCAGAGGGGCAGGAGCCACCAGTCGGGGGAGGGTATTGAGACTCAGCAAACAGGGGGTGACCCACGGTAGCTTCTTTCTAAGAAAAGATGGGGGAAGGTGGTTGGTGGGGGGAGCTCACGTCTAATGAGAGATGAGCCCTCTCCTGGGGGCCATCTTGAATTTTTACCACCTCTGGACTGTTGGTGCTTTCTTCAAACCTCGGCTTTCCCACTTTAGTCTGCTAGCTAAATAGCCACGGTCAGTAATTTCCTATTTCCATGCCCCATTCTCTGTGCCTTATCACAGCTGGCTGTGTGACCCAAGACAAGCTACCCACCCACCTATAGCCCCTTTCTGAATCTCTGCCCCCATTTACCAGGACATGTGTTCCACGTGATCTTGAACATCCCTCTGGGCCTAGGCAGCCAGCTAACCTGGCACCTGAGAGGTCAGGGAACTGGGCCGATAGCCCTGAGAAATCTGTGAATCAGAGCCTGGTGAGGCGGAGGGGAAGGCATACGAAAGGCAAACTGAGGTGTGGATGGCATGGCTCCACCTGAGCCCGTGTGGAGTCACGCCCTGTTCTTCCTCCTGGTGTGAGCTTTCCTTTCAGCCTGGCCTCTGCAAACAGCCTCTGCGCCACCGTGTTTTCTTAGCAGCCCCGTTCCTGTGTGCAGGAAATAATCCCATTAACTGTATTATTGCTGTAGAGAGAAGACGAGGAAACAGCTGCCCTAAAGTTCAATGAACTCGGTTCTCTCTTGAACGGAAAACCACAGAGCTGAAGCAATTGCCCAGTAGCAAACTTTCTTTGAACACGGCTTGGCTATACAGAGTGTCATTCTGAGTGCAGGCTGTAGGAGAGAGAAGGCAGCTGCTCCAGGGCCACTAAATACCCTCAGTCACTCCGGGGTCTCGAATCTCTGTGGGCCCCAGTCTTCTCCACACACTAAGGAAAGAAGACACCCAGTAAGGATCAGGGAGTGAGCTGCCATCTCAGCTGGCACTACTACCCTCTCTTGGCCCCCAGCCCTGTTTGTCCCCTGCCTGACTTATCAGACATCTTACTAAATATTGATCACGCTCTATCCCGCTTAAAAGCCATAGGGAGCTCCAGCTTGGAAGCACCAAGGCTTAGCAGGTTTTCCAAGCCGTCCTCGCCCATGACCACTTCCCTTCCCAACCACTTCTCCTTGTCATCCTGTTACCCTGAATCAGTCAGCCTAGTCCCAGCACACCCCAGGCTACGTTGCACCTCTGTGCCTTGGCATAAGCTGTCCCAACTGTCCATTCCCTGTCTCTGTGGTCAATTGATAAATTCAGGCTCGGCTTTTAGAACCTCAGGACAGTGTCACCTCATACTAGAAGCCCTCCAGTACTCTATGTCCCACTCCTACACAGACTTGGAGCCAGTTCTGTCTTTCTACTCTGTCCCTTGAGAGTCCCCCTACACTCCTTGGGGGAGGAGCCAGTTGTTCACACACAGACAGTACCCATAAGTGTCTTCTCTGGTTCCTCTCTCCCTTTTCTCATGCTGGAGAAGAGACAGATGTGCCCTGAGGCCAGAGGCTGGGAGAGAAGGATAAAATCTAGATTGGTTCTTCATTGATCTATTTAGTTATTTGTGTCCCCATTGAGGGAAGGGGTGGGTCTAGGACACAGGTGCCAGTCTCAGCAGCCCTGGACGCTTACGAGGTACTGCAGGATCTCCAGAGGTCCTCACCTGGGTTGAGGCAGGGATGTTGCTGAAGCTGACTTCAGTATGGACTAGCCTCCAGGAACGATAGGACCCAAGAAGACAGAGGTCTACCCTGTTTGCTAGACTAGGAATATCGGCAAGCTCTCTGTGGGCAGCAAGCTCCATTAACCTTGGTCAGCAAAAGTACAGGAGGAGGAGGAAGTACAGATGGTGGAAGGGGGCATCTGGAGATGTCATTGTACCTGTGAGGAGCTCTCACCATGTCTCTCCCACCCCTGCCATCACAAATGAGGTGGCTGTCCTTGTGCCCACATCATGGAGCAGGTGACCACTCTTCCGCTGGGTCAGGATGACATGAGATCCCTACATTGTGATGTCACTCAGGCATCTGGCCTTGGGTCTGTCTGCTCTGGAGTGGAGAACCACAATAACAGCAGACCTGATCCTGGGCTCCCTTCTCAGCAAGCAGGGCACACCCCAGGGGTGGGCCTTTCTGTTGGGTGGGGCAGGAAACCAGATTCAGAGACAGGTGGGCAACCATCTGTAAGATGTGCCCTCAACTCAGAGAGCAAGGAGATCGGCTGCAAGCCCCTTAACCTGATGATCCGTCTCGCCAGCCGTTCCTGTTTGATCCACATATGTATTCACAGAATCTTGTGAGACAACAGCAAATACATGTATTGGTGGCTACTGTGTGTCGGGCACAGTTTTTAATGCCTTATTTCCATCCAACCAATATTACATATTGAGGGCCTGGCATTGTGTTAGGTGCTGAGGTCATGGTAGTCTCTTCTCAGGGAGGGGGGGTAACAAGCAAACTTGGACCCAGGGGTGATGATAAAGGCCTTTGACCAGAGAGTAGGGAGAGTGGACCCGAGACAGGGTGTCAGACTTCTCCAGGCCCTGTGACTGTCCGCAGGAGAGAAGCCACTCTTCCTACTTACAGGATAAGGAAACCAAAGATTGGAGGGTAGAGTCCAGGTCTGTCCCCCAAGCTCAAGTCACCTCTATTGCTTTCTACTGTCACCCCAGGGTTTGTCATTTGAAGTCCCCTGCATTTCCTTTTATTGTTAATTCTAAGCCCTGTTGGGCCACACGGCAAGAGTGAAGAAAAGCCCATGGTTCCCCAGGGCCAAGAACCAGGTTTCAATTCTGGGCACAAGGATTCTGTTCTGGGAGCGGGGGCTGGGGGGGTGGTGGGAATTATAGAACTCCTGTCTCCCCCAGGATAGATAGGGTGTGTGCACATTCGGGGGGTGAGGCACATTCATGGGGGTATAGGGGAGTGCATGTGTGCTTCTGTGAGTACATATGTGTCTGAATATATGTGAAAGGCAGAGAACAGCCTTGGGTGTCATTCGCTGGGAATCCATCTTGTGTTTTAAGATGTAATCTCTTGCTAGTTACCTGGGACACACCAATTGAGCTAGGCTAGCTGGCTAGTGCCCCCAGCCACCTGCCTCTCTTTACCATCTCCATGCTGAGACTGCAAACACATGCCACCATGAATGGCTTTCCCGGGTTGGTTCTGGAGCTCCTATGCGCTTGCTCAGCAAGTACTCTACCCACTGAGCCATCCCTCCAGCCTGCTGACTGCTTCTGAAGGCTCCACAGGGTCAGATTCCATGAGGACTGGCTATCCAGGCTTGAGTCTGAAAGCTGGTCTTGTCCCCACAAGCCTGGCGTGACCTGTGGCTGCTCTGGCCACCCACGAGGGTTGCAGCCTGGGCAGACAGAAGTCCAAAAGTCAAGAGGCCAGGCTTGACCCTGGGGAGGACAGCTGGCTCCTGGGGAGGGACCTTCCCTGGACCCGGAGGAAGTCAGCTCAGGCCTGGCCTGTCAGGCAAGCAGCCCAAGGGTAGACCCAAGCCCCGATTCCTCTGTGTCTGCAGCTGCTCCTGGGACCACCCCATGAGACAGAGCTACTGAGTCCCCCAGAGAGATCTGTAAGGAACCAGGACTGGGGGAGGTGGTGGTGGCTTTTTCTCAGCAGGATTTGTGTGTGTGTGTGTGTGTGTGTGTGTGTGTGTGTGTGTGTGTCTGTGTGTTCAACAGGGAGGGGGCCTGCTCCACTTCTGAGCCTGGAATTTATACAGCCCCTCGTTGGCGGCTGTAGTTTATCTTGAGTGAAAGAATAATAAACTTGTTTGACAGGATGATGTATTCAAAGCATCCGCCATCGCAGCACAGAGCACTGCCTGCTCTCAGGATGTCTGGAGTGGTGGGGACCGTCTTATCAAGTGTTTGGCCCCCGAGGATTGTCAACAACATGTTGTTTGCGGGCTGGAGTAAGGCAGAGATGGGCCTGGTTGGGGGAGACGGAGGGGAATCTGGCCATACTGAGAAAGGATAGCCGCCCAGATGGGGTCAGGAAGGCTTCAGCCTCTGATAGAAGGCAGCCCAGGCATGCATGGTCCAGGCCCAGCCCCCTTCTGCCTGTCCATAGTGTCCTGCCTGGGAGAGAATCTGCTTCATGGACCTCCACACTTCTGCAGGGACACATGTGGGACAGCCACAGCACCCCCTTTCTCCATCTCCTGTATTCTCCTTAACAGAGCAAAGAAATTAGCATGAAACTGTAAAAGTCTGCAAACACCGTGGGGAGGCATGGACCTAGCAAGAGTGAGCCTTGGAACTCCATCCCCTGTAACACCCAATAAATAAGTGAACACATAAATAAATAAATAAATAAATAAATAAATAAATAAATAAATAAATAAATAAAAATATGCCAACTAGCCAACCCTCAGCAGAGGGCAGGGGAAGCGTTTAAGCCTGGCTCCAGGCCCTACCCCCACCCCCAACCCCTCTGCCAGGCAACCTTTGGCCATTCCCATGATCCTTTAGAACTTTGTTTTCTCTCACGCTGCAAAGGGACTTGACAGTACTTACCACGTAGATTCTGAGCTCAGTGCTGTAGCCACACTACTACCAGGAGAACACTGAAAATTCCAAATAGATGAGCTCAAAAGACCTCCAGCAACCAAAGCCTTCCCAGGCTGCAGCCCCCAGACCATGGATTTCTCCCTCCTGATCCTGGGAAGTCCGTTCTCTTGCCTAACTTTGAGGCCTCTTGTTTCATCCTGAACTCTGTTCCTTCTTGCATCACTTCCATATCAACTCTCTCCAAAGCTGCCTCTTTTTCTAAGCTTCATGGTCCTGATTCTTCTCTCTCTCTCTCTCTCTCTCTCTCTCTCTCTCTCTCTCTCTCTCAAGCTAAGACCTCCTGTACAACCAACTCTAGCACTTCGCACTTCTCCTTTGTTTGGGGGAATACATTTAAAAACAAATAAATACAACAAAAAAGACAAAAAAAAAACAAAAAAGCCCAAGAACAACAATAGCAATAAACAACAGGTCAACACTCTAAGGACCTGTTGGTGACAGCCCCAGGGACAACAGGGAGGCTACCAAGGAAGGAGGGGAGGGGCCATACGCACAGAGTACTGACCAAGCAGCTGGATCCATTCTAGGACTGAATATGGAACCTCACAGGGTCTCTTTGTTTATCTCCCATTTTACAGATTCAGACACTGAGGCTGGAGAAGACTCTGGATCAAGTGGCTTCCCAACTTGTACTTGACCTTCTATCTGGAAAAAAAAAAAAAACATGCAGGAAGAACCCCACCCAGAACTCTCCAACAGCTGCTCAGAAAGGCCAAGACTCTGTGGAAGACACAAGGGACCCTGGGAAGAGGCCGAGGCCAAGCAGTCTGGCAAGGAGCTCAAGTCTGAACACAGATGTGTGTGAGCTGGGGCTACCTGGGCCGAGAACAGGAGAGCCCACAGCCAACACTGGTTTCCCTTGGGCCTCGCCCCTCATTTCCTTAGCATCGGCTCCTTTTTCCTTCCTTCTGTCCTTTGTCTAGGAGCCAAGCCCTTTAGAGTCCACCATCAGCCACTGCCCTCCCTGTCCTTGTATCTCCTTCCTGGCTCTGAAGTTCCTGCTGAGTGCCAGCCTCCAGGCCCACCATGGTCTAGATCCCCGTGGTCCATGGAGAGGGCAGAAGTGGGCGGTGGGCATCCAGGAAGCCAGTCCACATGTCAGAGTTTTCTGTAGCAGGTGCTAGGACCACAGAGATGACCGAGTCATACTCTGCCTGCAGCCAGTTCAGGCTAGCTGAGGACATGAGGCGGGAGCTCTCACTTCAACCTCAGACAGCTGCAAGAAACTCTGGCAGGAAGCGGAGGGATGTACTGACGGTCTCCAGAGGGAGCTGACTGTGCCTGTGAATGTATGTTTAGTCATTAATTTATTTCATCCTGTTACTGGGCGTCTGTGGCCTGGGCGGTGCTGGGAACAGCCAGGGGTCTACGGGGAAGGCAGGCTTTCCGGTGGGCTTGAACCCCTTATGGGGAGAGGCTGAGCTTGTGGTAGAGACTGTAGGTATGGGGGCTGGGTGGCAGCAGATTCCTGAAGGGCAATGGTGGTTAGGAGGTGGGGGGTGTGTGTCATTTAAGGTTGTAGACTGGAACAGGTAGACCGGACCCTGTGGGAGGCTGGCATCTGGGTTATTCTGTGTTCTGGTTCTATTCAGGGTCTGACCACCAGAGGCAACGAGAGGAGGGAGATCGGGTGGCAGGGCTGGGTCTCTGGAACAGCGGGAAGACCTATACTCTATCCGAGGACATAAGTGGGAACCTTTGGAAATGATTCACTAGAACAGAGGGTTTCATTGTGAAGACTTTCACATCTGCCCCACCCTGGGGTAGATTTACATGCCTATTTACATATGTTTGCATAAAGTATGTTCGGATCCATATTCATTTCGGGCATTTGTATCATTTGTCCCCTTTCCCACACATCTTGCTTCCTCTTCTAGATGGGCAGTCCCCGTGGGAACCGTGTCCAACTTTAGAATGTTTTCTCGTGCCTCTGTGGCATTGCCTGGTGATGGCTGGCCATGGCTTTCCAGAGAGGTAATCTGCTCCTCACCTCGATGGGCCAGAGGCTGAGGGAGCTCAGGGTCCCCAGGGACTCATCATCCTGGACGCTTTCGCTCTTCAGAATGAGAGCTGCCCGGCCTGGGGACTGTCAGCGGGAGAGGAGCTAATGGAGTGTTGAGTGACCGTCGCCTGTAAGTCTGAGGGCCATCCCATGTGGGCTGCTTTTGCTGACCAGAGGGTTGGGGGGCCTGGACGAGGTTGGGTGTGGGACCCCTTCCAGACTCTGACTTGCAGAACATATCTCATAGGCACCCTCTCGCGCTTACAAGTCTCTGCTGGAAGGGAGACTAAACTTGTCCAGAGATTTCAGGGGCCAGCAGTGCTCAATGCTGTGCAGCAAATCCTGTCTCCTCCATTGGCTCTCAGTGCTTCAGTTTATTCTTCTCTGCCACCAGGGTCTTCGCCTTGTCAGTGTTTGTAAACGCCTATTGGCAACCTAAGCTTACCATCTGGTTCCCAGAGACTATCCTCTTGTCATGGAAACACCACACTCAGCCTTGAGGTCTGCAAACTTCCTCTCCTGTATGCCATGGCAATTTCCGAGAGTATTTCGTGCATATTTGCTGCTGGTCAGTACTGTGAGCATGTGCTGAGGCCAACAAATTGCTGCAAATGCACCCCACTTAGTCCCTGACCACCACCGTCTTCCCCTCAATGGCTCTGAGAGGTAGACTCCTATCTGCAAATGGTAATTGTCACCAGGAGAGGAGTGACAGGGAGCAGCGGTCTCAGAGCCTCTCTCCTGGCCAGCCCTGACTCCTGGCTGAAGCGTTCTAGGTCCTAACTACTTCCCCCTTTGCACATAGGCCCTGGACCATAGGAGACTTGGTTTATTATCCATAGGTCTTTACTAACCAAGATGGATTGAGTGTCCCTTATCCAAGGAAGATGGCTTGTCTTCCATGGTCACTCATTCAACTCTTCCAACAGCTTGCTTCTTTGGCTTAGACTCACCTGTATTTTGTGGAAAAACTGGACCCCAGTGACCCTCCCTGTTAGTCAGACATAGCCTGGGGATGGAGAATGATGAGCATTTGGAACCTGTGTGTGGGCTCGGGATGTCGGTGTTTCTCACTGTCTGATACCTGACAGCTTCTCGTAAAGTCTCATCCCTGTGGTTATGGACTCCAGGGTCCAGTCTTCACACCTCCACAGCAGCTCCAAGAGTCAAACAATATCAACGCCTGTGACATATTTATCTACTTCCTACCTCAGACCCGGGCTTCCTGAAGAAGGAAAAAGACAGTAGGGTGGGGGTGGGAGGCAGCAGGAAAGAAAAGAAATGAGAAAGAGGGAAAGGAAAAGAAGGGAAGGGGAGAAAGCTCACAATCTTTTCTCTTTTAAGCTCCTAGAGGACAGCTTATTTGTTTAAAATCCTCTTATCTCCAGCTCTTGTCTCCCCACTGAGAAGGCCTGTGGAGAGAGGCTGGCTTTTCTGCCAGTAACAATTGAACACTGGGCTCCATAAACGGCCCTGGAGCCACAGGGCCTTGTCCCCTCTTTCCTATCAGTCTTCACCCCACTGGATAGCCCTCCCCTGACGTGACTCTCATGACAGACCAGTGGACATGGCCATTCTGTCTTCTCCTACCCTTATCCCACCTCCGGCTTGGCGCAGCTTCCTCCTCAGGGGCCTCTCTGCTGTACACCGGCGCCGGCCTGGAGAGGCCTCCCAGCCTCCACTTCAACCCTTCTTCCCTACGCTGTGGGGCTCTTCCCTAGCTTCCGCTTCTAGAAGCTTCTTCCAGTGCATCCTCTCCCTGTTTCACACATTCATTACTTCAGCCTTCCATCGCATGCTCTGGAGTCCCTGAGACGTGCCAGGCGTGAGAGATAAAGGGCCTGGGAGTCTCAGAGACCAGTGGAGGAAACAAAATGTCAGCAGTCAATTAAAGCCCTTTAGGGCAAGCTTCAGTTGTCCATCCACTGGTCAGCCCACAGCAATAACGGCTAACGACCTCTGCGGGTTTACTGTGTGCCAGGCACTGTTCTGACTGTTTTACGTGGCCTGTCTCATCGGATTCTCGAGACAACTCTCCCGGGTAGGGCTATTATCCTTCTACTTCACAGAGGATATAGCCCAGGCACAGAGGCCTGAAATAATTCACCTGAGGTCTCAGCTGACGAAGGTCAGCCTTGAGTGGAACCCTTTAGAGTGTGGGCCAGAGGCTAAACTCTTAAACCCAGAGCTGCTTCCAGCTCAGCCTAGAGTCTGGGATATTTCTTTACACACCCTCTCTGCTCCTTACGCTACCATGACCCTTGGCCACTCGAGCTAGCAACCTAGAGCTGAGTCAGCCATTTTTGAGGGAGGTGGTACGGATTCTGGCCCAGCATCCCTGGCTCACCTAAATCATAAATGCCTGCCAGAGCTCGTCTCTGTGGCAATCGGGGGTCTTCCAGACTCAGGCAGGAGGCTGAAGTCTCTTCAGCAGCAGCAGCAGCAGCAGCAGCAGCAGCACTGAATGGCCCAGGACTCTTTGAACTCTCAGCTCTCTGACCAGAAGGAATCCAAGAGTTAGCTGAGTGACAGTGGCGGAGGGCCCAGGGCAAAGGGTCATCTGTAATGACCACACACCAGGGAGATACACTGATCCCTGTGGCCTTTCTAGGCCTCTTGGAGGAAGTCTGTCTCCAGTTAGGCAAGCTGCCTGTTGGGTGGCCTCAGGCTGCGTTTTCTTTGAGGTCCAGCGAAGGTGGTGAGTTTCAAACCTCATCTCAGTGGGTTATTTGGCAGTTTGCATCCTAGGAGACCAGTTATGCTCATCCT